CTCACGCCAGGATGTAAACCAAAACCAAGGAGCAATTTCCACTGTTACCCAATGTACTTGTAATCCTTCTATCCCAGGATGTTTTAGAGGCTGGATTAGAGTAGATTACACTCCAAGAGCTGCTGGAACCAAACCCAAGTCCCTCGTAAATAAAACTAGACAGACTTTCAAATGCCAAGTTAATAAAGTGCAGCACAATTTTCTTCTGACATACAATGGCCAAACAATATTGGGACAGTTCTGAAACTGATTTTATAGTGCAGAGAAGAGGCAGAGAATGGTGCAAAAGGCCAGAAAGAGACAGGAGATCGACCCTATTCAAGCTCTCTTTCATCTTTATCTTAGATTTACTCCTCCTGAAAATGGATTAGATGAATTTAAGAACCCTGACACAGGAATTAATTCTCCTCACCTCTATAATGGAATGAAGGAAACGTGCAAGACCCAGAATTTGGACAAGCTCTTTAAGAAAACCTCCATCCCAGAGGACGGCAATAAAAATGGCTACTACCAAATAGCTTCTAGGCTGTGGAATGCAACTCATCAAATGAGCACATGAACTACAACAGAATAACCGCTAATTGGTTACACTCAACTACCAGCTTTTGGCCAAAAATACTGAGAATGACCATTGTACAAAAAGCAGACTATTAAAAGTGGAGACTGATGAGAAGTGTGGAGATACTGATGGTTCCTCACTACACAGAGATTTCTGTGTGGCCTCAGCCTTGCCTATCTTTTCTTTTTCTTTTTTCTTTCTTTATTTTTCACAAGACTTTTGGAAAAATGAAACTCAAAGAAATTTAACAAATGCAACATTCACCTGCTTTAATGTACAACCCGCCCCCACAACTTGGAATACCTATTGATTGAAGCATACTCTTCTGCCTTCTAAAAAACATATCCACGACAGAGCTCCCTATTTCTCCATCAATTCTAAACTATATCTTCCTGCTTGGTTTCCATTCCCCTTTGGGTGCATGAGATTCATAGATATTTTTTCCTTCAGGGATATGCTACATTCGGGTTTGGTACCCCCTCAATATTCTAGTTTGCAACACTTTGGCTTTAGTATACCCACATGGCTCCGTTTCAGAAATAACCAGTTATGACATTGCTTTAATTATTCTGCAGAAGACAAATAAGCCCTTGAGCTGAGTCTGAAACTATAAGCATATCAAGCCCTCTGTCTACACTGGGAAATTGCCTGGGTACAAGAACCAATATTGCAAAGGGTTTCAGGTGCGATCACTGGACAAAATTTTTTTTTATCAGCCAGGTTTTTAAAAAAAGAAATAGAAAGAAAAAAAAAGTTATGCCTCAGTCAGACTGCCTGGCCCTAGCCAGAAAAGCCATATTATTTAAAACATTTTCAAAATAGATTCTTGAAAACTGTTTCAGATTACCAGCACTGTCCCTGCACAGTCAAAGCCTAAAGGCCAAATTCTGCATGTCAGCATAAACTTGAAAACAAGTTTATTGAAATCACTGATGTTCCTTCTGACTAGCACTGGTGTGAATGAGGGAGAATTTAATCTGAAATGTATTGTTCTCTCTACTGACTTACTTATAGAGTGAGTTTCAGACTGCAGTTCAGATTTCTTTTGATGCTAGTTTATGGCATGCAAGTAAAATGGCAGAGATCTAGCTTCACAAGGTCTAATCTGTCTTCCTTTTTTATACTGTGTCTGATGAAAGAACCATAAAGAAACTGTGGCAGAATTACAACATATAGTTAAAAACGCCATGCAAATATTATTATGCTCACAGTATTTTAAATTAGAGCTATACTGCTATAAATCTGCCATTAAATATTTTACATGTCAGTGACTGAGAGATCTGTAATATGATTGGCTAAAAAAATTAAGAGCATAAAGCCCTGATATCATTACTGAAAACTAATTCTTGAACCAGAACAAACTGGAAAACAGTGCAAGAAATAAATATGAGAATCAGACAAATGTAAAAAATAGTTAGAAACAGAATTTATGGACATAAAATCACTCTTTGCACTATAATTCCAATGATAACATCCAGACAGCTCCGTTACTACAGAACAACTTGATCAAACAGAATATTATACAAGTAAATAAACAACAAAATACAAACTGCTTGGGCTATAAAAGTCTTTCAAAACTAGCTGCAAGAGAAACATAAAACAGCAACAAAAAGTTCTATTAAAAGAATTATAGGAGACAGTAAAAGTACCTTTTGACTTATTTGTGACACATAATGACTATAATAACCTATAGAGAGGTGATTACAAAGGTTAACAGGCTGGTTTGATAAGTGATATGCATTATGTAGTGACTTGCCAAACTAGTCTGTAATTCCTAACAATAACCTCCCTTCTACAATACTTCTGTATACAGAATTTTAAACTGGAATAATGATGTATTTAGCACTCAGTCAGCATTTTTTGTACTTAAAGCCTTTCACAAACATTATCCAGTTATTCTCATTATGTTCATTTGTATTTCCTTTTACAAAGGTGCAAACTATGTCAGAGATGTTAAGTGACTTGCCCAAAGCCACAAATGAACAAGTGAAAAAGCTGAATTAAAACTCCAATACCCCGTTCTGTGCCTACACAACAGGACCACGATTCTTTTTCAATCTGTGGCTAGAGTGCCTGATTTCAATGTACCAATTTTCCATTGTGTCACTGCAATTGACAGGCACAGGGTTATACCCACAGTTATCTACAGGCACAAATAATGTCATTTATATCTATAATTACCTGACATACAAGTGCAATCATGGAAGCAGACATGTAAATGACATCAAATACATTCCTATGTAGTTCTAGATACAAAACCATGCTCACAATTATTTGCTCTTGCAAGCTTGAGGGTGCAGTAGAGGCAAGGTGGAGACCACTTTCAAAATTATGCTCAGAATCTGTAATTACAGCTGTCCAGCAACTATAGGTATGCTAAAGTTGCATAATAATAGGTGTAATTTTACATCAGAATTCTAGTTGGGAGAATTCCCAAAGTGCAAAGCAATTTTTTTTGGGGGGGGGGGGAGGAACAGGGACAACTTCCATCAGTGTGGTTGAAAGCAGAATTATGCTATCAGACTATGTGCTAAAGGTAGTAAAGGTAAAACTACTAGTGACTACGGCGGGAGCAAAGTTAGCCTAACACACAGCGCTTTTGAAAATCTCACCTTAAGTACTATAGCTGATAAGAGAGTCAAGTATTAATTGAGATGAAATTGCAAGTAAGATTGTTGTGAATCAGACATTTATTTTTGCTGCGGTATGTAAAGGGTCACAGTTAACTGGCCCAATATATACATTTTACCTAGCTAAAGAAACAAAGTGCCAGAAATAAAAATGCTTCCCACTGTTTATATGGTTAGAGAGGAGTAAGGCATTATGAGGTGGAACATGGATGGTAAGCTACTAGGAAGCCAGCTAGTGGCTGTATGGCATCCTTTCAGAAATAGCAGAGTTCTCTGCATTAGAATTTAGTTCAATGTATGTTAGCTTATCACAGCAGAACAACCAAATGACTGAGCTTACACTTGCTTGCTGGGTTGGACAATTGAAAAATACATTTTTTAAAATCTCAACAGCAATGGTGGGTTTAATAAAAAAACAAAACAAAACAAAAACCACATTTGATTACAATCTTGTTGGTATTCATCAAATTCTAACAATTTTAGGGCAGATCAAACTAGGTGAATCAACTATTTTCTCTTTATTGATGAACCCAAACTTATGTATCTCCAACACCCAGGAAGAAAACCTTGCTTTGCTTTAGTCAATGGGAGTTTTGCCATTGCCTTCAAGAGGGTCAGGATTCCACCCCGAGGTTTGATTTTGCAATCCCTCCACATGTGAAATTCCATTGATGGCAAAAGTAGTTTTGCACTCAGAGAACTTTGGAAATGGCCCTATAAAGTGGAAGAGCAATTTAGAAATCAAAACTGTGTTTGGTTCATCTGAGAACCTATAAAAGTGATCCTAAGCTGCATCTCAGGTGGATATCCCCTCCCACCACTTGCACCACTGTGGCTACACTTCTATTTTTAGCATGGTTGCTCGATGAGAGCTAACACGGGTATGTCTCCTCAAGCTGGAAATCACACCTCCAGCTCTAATGTAGACAAACCATTGGTCAAGAGTGCACAGAATTACTGCATGCCAGATTTCAGTTCTGCAAATCAACCTGAAGATTTGTGTTTTATATCCCAACTCATATCATTTTGATTTGAATTTCTATGGCTATTTCAAAAATTGAATTTAGTAATATTGAATTCAATACTACATTTTGTCACATCTAATTAAAATGAATGAAATAGTCTCATATCTTGCTATGTCATACTCGATAGCCAATATGAATGTGGTTAAGGACAGCCCAAGGAAAACTGAGTGTAAACAGACTGAACATACAGGAGGTAACATTATGTTAAGAGTTTTTGACTTTCATTCTGAACAGTCAGATTCTTCTGAAATGACTACAATCCTGATATTGATTAACACTCCCACTGACTTCAAGGGAGTTCCACAAGCAGAAGAATGGAAAGTCTGGTTATATTTAGAGATGGGCTCAAAATTTGAATCTGAATCCAATTCCTTCCTGAAACTCTGGAGACATTCAAATCTGCACCCAAAATCTGCCACATGTGTTCAACTCTGCTTGTATATTAAGAGTCATATAATAAAAACAAACACTTTAAATTTAGGTGTGAAATGTGGAAAACAGAAGCCCTTATGAGATTTATCGCTTCATCAAAGTAACACCTGATTCTGGTCTCACTAATTTCAGCCTCAATGAGGATTAATTCCACTGGAGCTGAATGGAATAGAACTGGTGTCAGATCAGAATCAGGCCTTAACTCTCTCTTTATGTCACTGCATCTCAAAGTAGTTTGTGAAACATCAGCCACTCTCCATACCTCAGGAAATTAAGATAAACCATGAAGCTCCAGCAGACCATATCAAAGCTATATGTATGTGCACCAGTCTCTGATGAAGCAGAATAACCTACCTCCTTAAAGTTATCGAACGCAGATAAAATAATTTCGTGCCCTCCTCTGACAAGACAAACGGCTGCTAACAGTTCTAAGACAAGGGCTTTTGTTCTGTTAAAAAAGAAAGAAAACACAAGAATTAATGACAATAAAGTGATGATTCAACTACTACCTCATTTGCAAGATGGATGTGATGACTGAATACAATTATTTGCCCTCAGTATCTTTTTACTCTTTAAGTGCTTTGAGAGCCTGATTCTGCAAGATGCTGAGAACCTGCTGCAATATTCTGAGCATCTTCAGATCCCAGAGTATTTGGCACTCCATAATGCAGGTGAGTGGTTTTATATATATATTTAAAGGGGGATCGCTTTACAAAATTCATGCACATCATGAACAGCAATTATTGGTCAGCTATTTTCACCATAATGCAGCATATTTTCCCTAAAAGTTCAACATTAAAGGAATGTGCTTTTGGTTCAAATCTATGACTTTTCTAGATACAACTGTGAAAAATCCTCCATTACAATTATTTTATTTATACTACAATATAACAAGAGGTGCCTATCATCACTGAATTATACGACATTTTAGCATGTTTTCCCCTCTTTAGTGTGAAATTCTGAGCAAGCTGGATAGCGGCCAAGCTCACACAAAGATAATTCCCTTTCATCCATAAGAAGAAAAAGAATTAATCTAAAATATTGCTGATAGAAAAGCATGCAACAAGCTCCAAGTGCCTGTAACATAATGGAACTCATCATACTCCTTGCATTGCACAGCTAAGGAAAGGGCACTAGTATGGCCTTGTCCAGAAGAACGACTGACAGGCACTAAAATCACAAAGACATATAAGGAATTAATCACAGGCTTAGGTGCTTTCTTGAATCAGGCCTTAGACGGAGATGCTATTTTGCTTTTAAACTGTTACAGTAAGAGCTGGACACAGATAAAATGTTCAATTTCCCAACAATCCTGAATGGATTTTTATATTTTTAAATTAGCTTCTAATTGCCAGGTTTTTCCCTGCCACACAAAAACCCACAGAAGGATCAAAGCTCTGCTAGTAGGTTCAAAGAGTTCTTGTAATGGAATATCATTCATGTCCTCCCCTTCAAGTAGAAGGATTCATACCGATTATGGATAGGAAGGGGCAAGGCCCACTAACTCGCAGATCCCCATGACCCATCTGTTGTGCAGAGAGATCATAAGGATTCTGAACTCCTCCAGGCTGGTTGCAGCAGCCATCTCTCCCATGGTTGCAAAGTCTGCCATTGGTATCAAGTATCAGAGGGGTAGCCGTGTTAGTCTGGATCTGTAAAAAGCAACAAAGAGTCCTGTGGCACCTTATAGACTAACAGACATATTGGAGCATAAGCTTTAGTGAGTCTGATGAAGTGGGTATTCACCCACGAAAGCTTATGCTCTAAGACATCTGTTAGTCGTGCCACAGGACTCTTTGTTGTCATTGGTATGTGCATCCTACACCACTTCCATCAGGACTGGCAGGCAGGAGGGACAATTAATGTTGCTTTGGTCGCATCCATTTGGGCACAAGAGGAACATGCTGAAATTATGTCTGTTCCCTGACTCCACCCTTCAATTAGCGCACTAATTTCTGTGAGCTCCAGTGGCACAGTGTGTATGGTTACAGTGCTTGGTTACATGGAGGATATAGCATAGAGCTGCTGCTTCCCTCTTTCCACAGAACAGCCACCCTCCCCCATTCAGCTCACAAGCCAGGCCCCCAAAATCATGAAAGTGGCTTAAAAATCATGAGATTTTAAACCATAATACATTTTGGTTTCTTCACATTTGCCTTCTGGTTTATGAACCTTTGGGGTTCTTAGCTTTATTAAAAAATGAAAGCTGAGATTCTTAAATAATCTCCTGACTACTGGAGATGGAGCTTTAAAAAACCCCACTAAATATCCTGTGACTTATAATATTGTGAGATTTGGCAACACCGTATTCACACCCTCCCACAAGTCTGACTAAAGGAAGTCATGCACCAACTTCCACCGGAACAACATGATTTCAGATGTCTGCATTCTAAAGAGGAAGCACTGCAGAAAGACTGTGGTGATATGATCACAGTTTCCTTCACTTTCTGTAGTTTTATCTTTCACTGTATGCGCAAGACTTGGTTGGTTGGCTTCAACCAACATTCAATTATTTCTCAGGGTCCTGAGATCTGGAAATTATGGGGATCCAACCGCTAGCTTGGCAACTCCCAGCAGAGCAAGAGTGTGTGGGGAGTGAGAGAGGAGTACGCGTGCAGCGAGGAACATTATTGTTATTGTTTATTGTAGTAGTGCCTAGGGCCCAAGTACGAATGAAGCCACTTTGTACAGGCACGGTACAAACATAGAATAAGAGACAGTCCCCGCTCTGAAGAGCTTACAAGCTAAGGAACTTCCACTTTAATAAGCAGTAACATTGCTCTCGCTAGCTCTCTACAGAACCTGTGCTGGGTTCTAAAACAGTTGGGTGTCTAAGGTTTTGTCTGTATTATAAACCTTGGGTGAAATCCTGGATCCATTGACTTCAATGGCAAATCTTCGATTGAGTTTAACAGGGCCAGGATTTCACCCCTTTCCCTATAATATCTAAATCAATTTAAAATCAATTTAGTTACAGCAGTCCAATCCCCAATACAGATCTATGCGGTAAATTACAGTAATTATAGGCTTAAGTGGACCTGGTTTCAGTGTAATTTTAACTAGTTTAAGTGTATCTACATTAGAGGTTGCACCATTGCATCTAAATTGATTAGTTATTCTGGTGCAAAAAACTTGTGCATAGGCAAGTTTGAAAAGTGTCTCTAAAAGCCATCAAGTGCAGTATAGTCTGTACTTACCTAGGTCCTAAACTCCTGACATCTTACCTGGGATTCTTGTTGTTCAGGCTTAGTGCAATTTCATTAACAGCATGTGGATGTGACATGACCATATTGAATCCATACTGAAATGGGAAGGGGAAATACCATTTCAGTTTTGAGACTGCAATTATTATTTCAAAAATTCCAGTAAATTACATATCTATGACCAGTCTGGCAACCCTTCATGGCTTTGTATGCCAAACAAAACTTTGTCACGTTTACAGTATCAGTCAGCACATTTACATTTAATATTGTACATACCAACTGTTCTTCTACCAGCAGTGTGGAAAGTACTTTTGGTTTGGCTGTGAGTCATCTGACAAACACAGACTCTAATAACCTTCTGGAATGCCATTGCCAGCCCCTCATCCTTTTCTTTTTTCTATTTCCCCCCATATCCCCCTCATTTTGGACCTTTTGGTCAATCAAGGGTGTAATTTACCCTTCAAAGAAGAGTTTCTAATCCAATACAGAATAGTACATGTGTTCTAATACACACCTATCTATATTTCTATATAACAACTGTTTATAATATTTGTAAGACAATTACTGTTTATGTGTTTTAAATACACAGAAAACCATAACTGAATTAAGAAAAACATTTGATTATTATAACAATAGATCATTATCCAGGCTTTTTTTCATTAGAAATATGTGGTGCTATGCTGATTTACACCAGCTGAGGATCTAGCACATAGGGCTTAAATTCTGCTCTCAATTTCATGGGTGTAAACCTCGGATAAAGCCACTGATTTCCAATACTTCAGCAAATTCCTTTGACTATGGTATGACCAGGAGCAGAATTTACCCTATACACTGGTGCTAGAAATACTTCTCAGACATGTCCAGTCATTACAGAGTTTTGGGACGCAATCCGTAACCAGATACCACAAACTGTTGGATATTTATTACCAAAGGATCCTTTGGTAATCCTCCTGGAGCTTCCTGGTGGAAGTGGTCACACACAAGGAAATGCAGAATTTATCTCTCACCTACTAGTAACTGCTAGACTACTGATAGTCTCTCACTGAAAAAAAGAAAAATAGTCCAACTGTAGAGGGTTGGCTAAAAAACATGGGAGTTTGTGGTGATGGAAAAATTAATGCGCCAATTATGTACACGGCAAAATAAAGGACAAATAGATACTTAGATATTTAGCTATCATTTATTCAATACTCAAAGTACATTCACCTGCAAAAAAAACCAGCACCTCACTCCATTTTTTTTAAATATTAACTTTTGATAGACATGCCTGGTCTGTTAAATATGTGTAAACAGAAATGACATGTCATAGGTATTGTAATGATGCTCACACTGTAATATGGAACCCCCTGTTAAATAGAGATCTGATTACTATATTCCTGTATGTCTCTTGTAAACAACAGCTCACTGTTGTAACTATGTTGTTTCTGATATTTCCATGGCAAAGTTTGTAAACTTGTTAATACTTCCTAAATAAATAAATGGTTAAAAATAATACTTCACAGATTGTACAAGGCAAAACAAAGATAATGTTTTTTAGAAGCTTTTTTTGCAAGTACATAACAGTTAATAGTAATTGTTACAGAGAAAATTCGAAGTGTCTGAAACCACAAGAATGTGCAGTATGACCACAACTTCACAGTGACAATACAGAGAAATTCTGAAATGAAGATTCATTTTGATCTAGTTTACTCTTTCCCATGCAGTTTTATTATTGCTCTGCAGTAAGCACAGACTGAAATCTGATATCGCCATCTGCATAACATTCTAACTGTTCTGTACAATTCCCATTAAACATCACACCTATCAAGTCTGTATATTGGGCTGAATTCTGAATTGTGCTGAGTTACGGGAGTGCAGCTCCCATGGAGTTAATGAAAATTGCCTCCATGTAAGTGAGACCAGAATTTGGCCGATAATGGACTGAATATAAATATAGCAAATATACTGTATAGTAACAGGTAAGAAATTAAGCTTTCACCTCTGCTTTACTTTTTAAAATGATTATGCCTAACTTCTTCTTCCACCTCCAGAAAGTAAAAGAGTTATTTTGTCAAAAATCATTGAAATGCAAGTACCTGGTAATTCATTATGGCACGTAAACACATGATGCAGACATGAACATCGTCTTTTTTACTCACTAATCTTGAATTTTTTAGTGTTCTTCTGCTCGGCAAGGTATTATACCTGCAAATAAAAGAGCAACTTATATCAGTCACAGGACAACTTCTGTAGGTAGTAAAAGTATGGAAGCAGCTGTGTCTCCACCATTTATGAAAATATTAAAATTCCCTAGTTCTACTGGGTATACAAGCATCCGATATCCAACTAGACAGTAAACACAAGACACAAGGACAAAAAAAGAAGCATCTTCTTTACACGTTAAGCCTCATGTCATATTCTGCTTATGCCACATTGTGCTAGGTTTGCACAAGGGTAATCCCAATCCATAGGTCTCAGTGGGACTCCTCAGGAAGGGAAGCACACTTTAGAGGAGGAAAGATCAGGCTTCTAGCTGAGAACCCTTTCTGCTCCAATATTCCTGGTTTCATTAAGTGTCCTTTCTGCATTTGTTGAGGTGACTACAGGCAGTAAGAAAGCAGCCCTATCTGAAGCAGTAAGTGAAACAATGAAGGCATTAGTTCAGCAGCTATTCTTTGTTCTTGGATATTTTGGCACCTCTCTGGATCTTGGCACTCCAGCATTAGTCACTCTCAGAGCGATCTGTTAATCACCATCTGTGCTAACTTCAGGCCCGGCAAAACCAGTCAGTCAGCACAAAGTCTGTAAACTGCCAGTCCCTTCTTTTCCACACAATGCAACAACTGCCATTGCCAATAATGTCACTCACCTAAAGACAGGTAGCTGCATCTTTGATGGAAATATAACAAGAGAGAAATAGTTGTCCATAAAGGAAAAGGTTTCAGATTTGTTCCACACATTCTATTAGGGTTACCATTCGTCCGGGTTTCCCCAGACATGTCCGGCTTTTTTAGCTTTAAATGACCATCCGGGGGGGATTTCTAATAAGGTAGAAATGTCCGGGATTTCCCCCTTCCACTCATGCAGAGTGCGGCGCAGCTGATTGGACGGCTGTGCCTGATTGAAAGCCGCTTGCAGCCACTGGGGCCTCTAGCAGCCAGAGTCCCTCCCCCTCGCCCGCTCCCTCCTCCCCCGCAGAGCAGCGCCTTATTTGTTTGGCTGCACGTGGAGCTCGCAGCTCTCCCTTGGCCTGGGGGGGGGGGGGGCAGGGGGGGGGGG